AGAGAGAGAGAGAGAGATAGCATGCGTAGGACTATCAAAGGACATCTATTTCAGGAGTCTATTTTCCCCATCTACTGTGCATTCCAGGCTTCAAATTCAGGATGTTAGGCTTAAAGAGCAATAGCTTGCACCTGCTAGGCCATCTTGCAAGCTCCACATTTTTGTTTGTTTTTAAAAGGTGTGTATGAGCCTTCCTGTGTGGGTACTGAGAACAGAACCTGGGTCCTCTGAAAAGACAGGAAATACTCTTAAGTGCTTCTGAAATATCCAGCTCCTCTTTAAAAAATGATTTTTTGTGTAAGGGTGTTTTGTCTACATACGTGTATGTGCCCCAAGTTCATGCATTGCCCATAGAGGTCAGAAGAGGGCACTGGATCCCCCTGGAATTGGAGTCACAGATGGTTGTGAGCTGCCATGTATGTGCTGGGAATTGAACTCAGGTCCTCTGGATGGGCAGCCTGTGCTCTTAATCACTAGCCATCTTTCCAGTCCTCCAGTCTGTGCTATTTTGCTTTTTGAGACATGATTTCAGGTTGGCCCTGAACTTGTGCTCCTCCAGTTTAGCTCCCAACTCCCGGGATTACAGGTGCACACCATCACACCCAGCTCAGTCTGCAGCTTTCCCGCAGGAGCCAGGTCACTTTGGGCAGGTCCCTTCACTCAGCCAGGGGGCCTTCACGGATGGAGCAGCGGGAGCCTCACCTTCACCTGGAACACCAGCTCATTGCTGCCGACACTGAACTGGGATTCAAACAAGACCGTGAACTTCTCCTCCGTCACGGACTCCGCGCCACGCCTGTCGGCTCGCTTGATTCTTTTCAGGGACTGAAGAGCAGAGAAACCAGTATAAGACAGGGAGAAATGGCCACCAGGCCCCTGCCCTGGGCAGACCTCCCCTCCACGGCAGACCCGGCCTCACCATGTTCCTGAAGTGGGCGCTGAGGGTGCCCGTGGCCTGGTGGTACTCCATGACACAGCAGTTGTTCAGGATCTCGCCGCTGCACTCACTGCAAAGAGAGGGAGCCCGGCTCCACAGTGTGATGCCAGGGTCTGCACCAGGGCTTTGTGCACACTAGGAGGCAAGGGTCAATGACTGACATCTCTGGGCCCGGGAGACATGTTGCTAATGGACCATCAGTGATGAGACAAGCATCTTATATATCCCCGCTCACGCCAGTGCATCTGTGCACTACATGGATAGTTTTTCAGGACCCATTTCTCAGGTCTCACTCAACATGTGGGCTCTTCCTGAAAAACAAACAACCCCTCTCTTTCCAACCCCAGCACTAGCAAATCCCTATCCAATGGCTTCTCTGGTAGGACTCTTCAGGGACTTTGTTTATTTGTTTGTTTAATTTATTTATTTATTATGTATACAATATTCTGTCTGTCTGTGTGTATGCCTGCAGGCCAGAAAAGGGCAACAGACCCCATTACAGATGGTTGTGAGCCACCATTTGGTTGCTGGGAATTGAACTCAGGACCTTTGGAAGAGCAGGCAATGCTCTTAACCTCTGAGCCATCTCTCCAGCCCCGGGACTTTTGTTTATTTTTTCAGACAGAGTCTGACTACTTAGCCCTGGTTGGTCTGAAACTATGTAGATCAGGCTGGTCTTAAACTTACAGAGATCCACTTGCCTCTGCCTCCTGAGACTGGTATCAAAGTATGCACCACCACGTCTGGCTGACTTTGTTTATTTGGTTTAGTTTTGTTTTTTGTTTTTTTTTTTTTTTTTTAACAGAATCTCTAGCTGTCCAAGCAGGCATTCAACTGACTATGGAGCTTAGGCTGACTTTGAACTCTTGATTCTCCTGCCTCTGCCTCCCAAGGACCAGAAATATAAGGATGTGTTAACCCACCCACTCCAGGCTCAAGCTAGCAACCACCAGCAACATGAGCCCCTGTACGTGTGTGTGCCTGTATGTCATACGGCTGTGCCCAGCAATCCTAGATCACTGAACGCCGTCTGCTCTGCAGGCCAGTGGTCCGGTTAAGAGAGCGGCGAGTTCTCTTTGGATCACAGTGGTGTGCCCACTGCTCAGCACAAATGCTTGGACCACACAGCAGTTCAGTGTTGGCTGCCCTAAGTATTCGACACAGGCAAGGCTGGGTCAGCACTCAGAGGGGCACAAGAATGCCTGGAAGGGCGCCCATACAGGCCCCACCTGAGCAAGAGAAACTGCACCCAAACCCAGTACAGAGGGGCAGGCACACTCACTTGCGGGTGCTCTCGTTCTTGAGCAGGGACTTGGCCTGCTGCTCGCTGATGATGGTCGCCTTCACCTGCGGGGGGTTCATGTGCACATTCAGCTTCCCGCCCACCAGCAGGCGCACGGTGGCTGCAAACTTGGTCTGGGTCTTCAGGACCTGAGGAGGTTGCTTCTCAATGATGAAAGTGCTGCAGGGGACACAAAGGACAGACAGCTGACTGGATGCTGGCTCAGGGGAGATGGCTGGGAGGCCAGCTAGGAGGGGAGGACCTTCCTGTGGGGCCTGCTGGGAGAAGGAAGACAGGCAGAGGAGTGGCCTGGCCACTGTTTCCTGGAGGACATGGGGGGTTGGAGACAGGTGTGAGGGAGGCTGGACCCCCACGGTGCTCCCTGCAGTGTCCCCAACACACACTGGGCCAGGACAGTCACAGCAGCAGAGGAACTAGGGCCACAGTGGGTGGGGGAAGGTGGATGAGCAGGACTGGGGCAGAGCTCTGGGTTTGGACAGCTCCTGGGTCTCAACATGCCCACCCCCGGGAACTGCCATGTCCCTCTGAGCATGACCAGGAGTCAGCAGTCACCTGGTGACAAGGGCTGAGATGATGTCTGTGATGGTGGCATTGACCTCGGCTAGCATCTCCTCCACGGGGCCTGGGATGGGCAGCTGCTGGCAGAGGTGCTCAGCCCTGCGGATCTGCTGCCGGTTCTGCCAGATGATCTCGGCCAGCTTCTCACACCTGCAAGGAGCCCAGGACCCTCAGTCACCTCTGCTCCAGCACAGTCCCGGGAGCAGACCACATGACACTGTTCCCCACAACAAAACTCCCCTCATCACCCCAAGGTGCTGGCACTGGTCACCACTGCCCTGCACAGGCACAGAGGCCCCAACTTGGAACCAGCGAGCTCAAGAGTAGCCCTGTCCATACCAAGGCACTGCTGTCCCTTGGGGGAGGTGGCACGGGTCTGAGGAGCCAAGTCCTTAAGGAGCCCAGACACTGATAAAGTGAGAGCTGTCCCAGACAGCGGGAACCTGCTGCTCCGGCCAACACGGACAGAAGGCAGCTGGCACCATTGCCCAAGCCCCCGCTCACCCTGGCCACCCTGGCCCTCACCAGGACTGCAGCACGTCCAGGCTGCCCTCAGGGGGACCCCCGTTCCCGGCCAGCTGCTGCCGCCGCTTCCACTGGATCAGCTCGTCGTCCAGGATGATGGTCTGTTGCTTCCGCAGCAGCTGCAGGGTTTTCTGGTGCTTTTCAGCCAGCTCCTGCGTGAGGACACAGCGGCCTTCTGGCTCCAGGGAGCAGCCCACAGAGCCTGGCCTAGGACCCAGGGCTTGGCCCTGCCCTCTCCACCTGCTCCACCTCATGTGTACCCCAGGAAAGAGGGGATCTGTTCTCATCTTGGCTCTGCGCCCTACCTGGCGCCCTGAATCTCAGGTGACAGAGCTCCCTCCCAGGGGCAGAGGGATGCAGGATGCACTAACCACACGGTACTGCTGCAGTGTCTGTGCCTCCCGCTGCAGCCAGGCCTCCAGGGACACTTGCTTCTGCTGGAGGGCTGTCTCCCGGCTCATGCGCTCCTGGGGGTTCAGCTGGGCCAGCTGGGCAAACTGAGCTGGAAGAGGGGACAGGACAGCCACCACCATCATCTCTTGTGTCTATCGGGAACCCTAGAGGTTTCACATGCTCTGGAGGGCTTCCCAGAGTCGGGCATCCCATCGATGACAAGTCAGGCTTCCTGCCAGGCATGCGTGCCCAGTGATGTTCCCTCAGAATTGCTCACAAGCCTCCTGAGTGCATCGCCCCTGGGCAGCAGAAGTGGGTGTCCAAAATGAAGCAGAAGAGGGCTGGCCCCGTGTGGTGACCCTTGTCTGCCCCACATGGCTGTCAGCAGGCCCTCCCCTTGGGGCATGGAGATGGGAACGAGTGGCCCTGCTTTTTAAAAGCTGGGTAAAGATGGGAAAATACCTTGCTTTCCTGTGCCTCAGTTTCCCCATTTGTAAAAAGGGGAAAATACTGGCACCAGCTCAGTGGGCTATTATGGAGATTTAAAAAACGGTGAGGCTTTTTTTTTTTTTCTGAGAACTGCCTGTTTTATGTAAGATCTTTGCAGTTTGGTCCTAACTGGTGGACAGACGGCAGTCCAAAATGAGGGGTGGCAGAGACAAGACCTCCTCAGCCCCATCGCTGACATGGGAGCCCCATCCAGAGGCCCTGGCTTTTTCATCTCGTCCATTCATCCCTTCAGCTCAGCAGTTTTCTCAGGAGCAATGAATCTGGCTGAGACTGCATGGTGCCCGTGATGCCTGACTAGGGTGGGTAGTCATGAACTCAGCAGAGCACTCAACTAAGAAGGAAAAAGAGACAGATAGACAGACAGATATGTGTTTTTCCAAGATCCCCTGGAATACCACCAGCAAGATTGTCATCAAGGAACAAGGTGAGAGGTGACAGTGACTGAGAGGTGACATTGGGAAGCCTGTGGATGGCAGGAACAGGTGGTGAGTGAGACCTTAACATCTTTATCCATGCGTGTGCATCTCTGTGTGTGTACGCGCTTGTGTGGTATGTGTGTGTGTACTTGTATGAGTTGTGTCGGGGGTGGGTGTTGACACAGATCATAAAGCTGAGGATGGCCTCAAACTCACTGCATAGCTGGGGATAATCTCCTGACTCTACCTTTGAAAGTGCGGGGACAACAGCCGTAGGCCACCACATCCAGCAGTGTGTGGTACATGGAACTGAGCGACTTCCTGCATGTTAGGCAAGCGCTCCCCCAGCCAAGCCGCATCTGCAACCTTTCTAACATTTCAGAAGAAATCTCAAGGCATGAGTGGGTCAGAGTCATGCAGGGAACAAACTCAGCAGCTGGGCTCAGCTCAGCATCAAACGCATTCAGGGTTGAAGCTGTCTGTATGTGCCCACTGCTGGCCACCCTCCCCTGTCCCACAGCTAAAGACCCTGGATGCTGGCATTTATCCCTATCTTTAGTGGCCCTTGAGCCTCCCTGAATCCTTACTCGGGTCTAGTCAAGAAATTGTGCGCACTGGTATGTCTTATTCAAGTTCCTGGCTGGCCTCTGAGAACTATGTCACACTGACCTGGTCCTTGCCCCAGGGACACACAAGCTGGGACAGACAAAAGCAGCACTAGACAGCAAGGACAAGCCCACACCTTAGAATCTAGGAATATGGTTCCCATCTTCCTGTAATGTGGTGGGCCGGACTCGCACTGCCTAGATTCAGAACGTCCTGCTGAACACAGGAGGGCCAACGCCCTGGCCCGGATTCCCCCTCAAGGTTCCATTTAGGTCTCTCCTGTCCAATTGCACAGGTTTCTGGGATGGAGGCCAAATGATCCACACCAACTATTGGCTCCACTGGAGGAACTAGGTCTTCCCGTCTGCAAACAGATCAGTACTTCGTGTTTTGTGTAGTGCTGGAGATCAAATCCAGGGCTCCGTGCTTGCCAGCCCTGTGTTCTTTTACTGAACGACATCTCCAACCTTCTGTGTTTACAGTATTGAGCGGGATAAACAAAAGGCACACCGACACCACACACACATGGGTGCGAACCTCACCCAAAATCCAAAGCTAGACCTGTGCACAGGCAATGGGAACAGCTCGATTTAAAATGGATTGTCAGTAGCTGGCGGTCAGTGCCTGTAATCCCAGCACTTGGGAGGTCGAGGCAGGAGAACCGGTTCAAGGTCGTTGTCAGTTACACAGTGAGGCTGAGGCCTGCCTGAGTTTAAAAATAGGAAAAATACGAAGCAAAACTCAACAGCATGCTGTCTACATTATAAAACCTTTTTATGTTACAACTGGTCTTGATACAGTATAAATTTTTTAAAAGCATGGCCAAGGGGCCAGGGAAATAGCTCAGCGAGCCAAGCGTTTACTTGCAAACGTAAGGACTTGAGTTTGCATCTCCGGCATCCATATAATAAAAGCCCAGAATGAGGGTGCTCATCTGAAACCCCAGTTTCATCGTCGCGGAGGGGGGTGCGGGAAGCAGAGAAGGAGGATCTCCGAGGCTCAGAGCTCCAAAATTACAGTTGAGAAAAACCGAAAACAACGCTAGATCTCAACCTCTGGCCTCCACATGCAGAGACATGCTTGGGCACCAATGCTCACGTGCATACTGCACAAAAGAGGAAAGGATGGAAGGAAGTATAAAAAGGAAACTTAAGAATGAACATGAGAGGTGGTGCGTGTCTTTAATCCCAGCACTTGGAAGGCAGAGTCAGGTGAATCTCTGCGGTCGAGCCAGCTTGGTCTGCAGAGTGAGTTCCAGGACAGTCAAGACTATGTAATGAGATCCTGGTTTGTTTTATTTTGTTTCTTTTTCTTTTTTTTTTTTTAAAGGCATAGTAATAGATGCTCAGCAATTAAGAGCTCCTATTGTTCTTCCAGAGGACCCCGGTTTGATTCCCAGAACCCATGTCGTATCTCACAACCGCCTATACTTTTAGCTCATAGAGTCACAAACCTACATAAATAAAAATCAAATAAATACAAAAAGAAAGAAAGAAGAAATGGGCATGACAAAGCACATTTGTAATCCAGACACTTGGAAGGCTAAGACAGGAGGATCATGAGTTCGAAGTCAACCTGGGCTATAGAGCATAATCCTGTCTCAAAAGCCTAAAAAAAGAAAAAAGAAAAACATTTCAGAAAAGTCAGAATGATTGGCAATTGACTAGAAAACCATACTAATCACAAATGTGTCTACCAACACCTACTAACAATTTCAAAATTATAAAGGAAATGCTACAAAAAAGCATCATAGAATTTGTCAATTGCTTAATCATGGCGGGGTATTTTGATGACTCTCTTTTAGAAGCTGATCAACTGAAAAAATTTCTTTTTAAATAAACGGAATGACAATAACAAAAAAAAGGTCAGCCTGGTGAGGTAGACCAACGGGTAAAGGTGCTTTCTGAACAAGCACTAGGACCGAGTTCAATCCCAAGGATTCACATTAGAAAGAGGAGAGCCAGCTCCCACAACCGGCAGTGACAGGCCTGTGTTCACACACCTGTACACATGCATGCACGAACACACACAATAAATATGTAAATGCAAGTTTTTTTAAAAAAAAAAAAACTAAAGACCAAGACCAATGGTTCTCAGAGTCATCTAAGGAACTCCTGGCAAGTGTCTGAGACCCTCAGAAAAGACCCACAAAGAAAAACAACATTTTTCATAAAGCCATAAGACCTTAATTGCCTTGCCATAGCTTTTGTTTGAATTTTTTTAACTTGTCAAATTGCATATATATGCTGAAGATAAAACAATACAGCAAAAAAAGAATTTGTTCACAAAATTTTTGAGTTTTCTTACTATACATTATCAAAGTTATGTGCCCCAAGGGCAAAAATCATTGCAAATAAATAAATCTTGGATTTTAACAGGTAACTTTGTAATTGGGAGTAATAATAACTTTTTAATTTTCTTGTCTTAAAATAATTTTGATTTTCTCTCTGAGAATTTTACACATGTGTATAGTGTATTTTGTTCATATTTACCCTGCCATGTTTTTTGAGTGGGGGATGTGGTTTCACTATGTAGTCCAGGCTGTCTCTAAACTCCCCATCCTCTTGCCTCAAGCCCTTCTCTGACCCCAGTGCTGAGATTATAGGTATGCACCACTAAGCCTGAGTCTTCTATCCTTCTGTTTTTGGAAACAAGACGTGATTAAGCCCAGGCTGGCCCTGAACTTCCTATGAAGACGACCTTGAACTTCTGGTCCTTCTGTCTCTACCATCCAATTACTGGAATTACAGGCATGAACCACCATGTTTAATGTATACAAATTGAACCCAGGAACTCATCATACTGGGCAAACCCTCCACTAACTGAGCTACATCCCCAGCCCTGCGTCTCCACTCTTGCTAGCTAACAAGTGTGCAGTGGAATTTTCCAGAGGTTACAGGCCATCACCACAGACTGAAAGCAACACACAGCTATCTTTTATATCAAGGCGAAGACGAAAGACATTTGCAAATACAGTCATGAGTCGCGTAAGGATGTGGACGCATTCTGAGAAACGCATCATTGGGGGTTGTCGTTGTGTGGCTATCAGAACCCTTCACGAGCTAGACGTCATGGCTCACTACGTACTTAGACCATGTGGTGTGTAACATCATACCCGTGTCCCCCTGTGGGCCAGCACACTGTTATGCCGTCCATGACCACTTCTGTTCTACTCGCTAAATTTGGCTTTGGAAATATAGGGTATTTTTTTTTCTTTGTTTTTCCTTTCATGTTAACATTCTCAAATTTGCTGTGTCTGTTTGAGGAGACAATCAAAGAAGACACATTCTTTTCAAGTACACAAGATCTAGCCACCAAGACAGAGCATGTGCTGGGCCCTAAAGTCCCAATAAATTTGTAAGCTCTGAGAACATACGGAACCCTTTCCTGTAGTCACGGTCGAGTCCAATGAAAAGATAGCATCAAAGTCAGTAAAAGCGCAATATCTAAACAGAGTAGACAGAGGGAAATCAAACAATACATTTCTAAACAAAACACAGGTAATGGGGTTAATCCCGAGCGAGATGAGAGGAATTTCAAAGTAAACAGAAGGAACACACAGCGGCTTCAGAAGCCCGGGGTCCTATAAAGCACTTTGTAGGGGAAGATTTATATCTTTGGAAAAATATGTATAGAGAAAGCATAAAATTGGCTCTTCCCATGCTTCTAATCTCAGCATTCAGCAGGCAGTGTCAGGTGATTCTCCTTGATTTCGAGTCCAGCCTGGTCTACAGAGTGAGTTCTAGGTCCGCCAGGGCTACAGCACAAGTCCTTGTCTCAACAAAACAAAAATCACTCTTTCCTACATTTTCTGGGAAAGATATTTTACAGAGATAAGTAGATAGAAACCTATGTAGTTGGGTTTTGATTGTACATTTATATATCTCAATACATGCGAAAGGACTAAAATCGATACCTACGTCTCTAAGAAACAAGGATAAAGGCACAGGAAAAGGCAGTACGCCCCTGCCTGTCCTTGCTGGAACAGTGGAATCAGCCTATCTCTAACATTAATCTCCAGACAACTCAAATTGTACCTGGAGCTAACTCCTCCTGAGATCATTTTTCTTTGCCCACACCCTTATTGAGGCAGCCACTGACAGACTACAGAGCTGGGAGCTAGCAGAAGTTTTACAGTCACCTTGCCTCCAGGACCAGATTCCCTTAGAGTTTCAACTAGAGGCAAATCTGGTTTTCTAGCTCTCCTCATCCCGCTCAACCAGTGGACGCCATCCTTCTGGGTGGAACATACTTGGAACATGCTTTTTAAAGCACTCACACTTCACTGACTGCCTAAGATTAGGGAGAGTCTCTTGGTTAGGAAGATACAGGCGTCTTATGACCTATCTCTAGCAACGCATTGATTCTGCAGCTCACAGGCAACCTAGGCCAAGTTATTTGTCCTCTTTAAACTTTCCTTGTAAACAGGGACACCAAGCTATGCCCTCTGCAGGCTCCTTCTGAAGTTGCTTTGTATTATGCATGCAAAGACTACAACCTAGTACCTAGACTACAGCAAAGGTTCAAAGGAAGCCTGACGATTCTTACAAAGCTTTGGGCAAAGTGCCCAAGGGATGGCGAGCTTCCTCTCCTGCTGAAAATCTCAGAATTCTCCTCCCTTCCACCCTCAAGATGCTCGTGGCTTCCTGGACCGTGATGCTGGCCTCACCTTGGATCCGCAGACTCTCCTGATACTGGATGATGAAGTACTCTTGGGTCTGCTGCAGCTTCTTCAGCTCGTTCTCCGTGTCCTGTGTGATGAGGCGCAGCTCCTCAAACGTCTGGTTGGTCTGAAGGTGCTTCTGGGACATGGCGTCGACCAGGGTACCAGCAGGGGAGCTGCACTGGGGACAGAATAGATTGAGTCGCAGTGACAGGTGCAGTGTGTCGGGCAGAAAAGAGGGGAGGAAACTTGGCGCTCTGGGGAGCACCAACACTAGACACCCCCAACTTCAAATCCAGGCTTAGAAGGAGGGTCAGAGGATTGTCGATGCCAGAATTGGAGTAGAAAGGGAAGACAGAAAGGAAATCAGTGGCCTGGTAAATAATGGAGACTTTGGGGCAGAAATTTCTGGTTCAGATCTGGTTTTACACAGGAGAGTGTTGAACGAGCCCATACATTTCCTTTAGAGAAACTAGAAGCGAACACTGGCCAGGTATCACGTGGATGATTTACCTCCTAAGGATGAGGCCTGCGCCTCCTCGTTCCATGGTTATCTACTGGCCCAATGCCACTGTCTGTGCTAAGTGCTGGGGACCCAGTAGGAGACAGGGCCCATGGACCCACGTATGTCCTCACTCACACCTGGAGGGAGGGGGCATCCCAGAGATGCCCAAAATAAAGCGACAGGAGAGACATCAAGAACGCCTCTTTGAGTCCTGCCATTCCTAGAACATCTGGTTGAGAGGGGACCATGTGGTTGGGGACTTTCCAAGTTAGTGTTCTTAAAATAAAATCCAAACTCCTTTATTCAGCCTGGCAGGTGGCCTCTGACTGTGTCCTCCCAGCCTCCCCAGGGGCCAAGGCACAGCAGGTCTGTATGTTTTCTGCATCTGTCCCTACAACACAGCATGTGCCGGCCTCAGGCCCCTTGCACTAGGAGGTCAGTCAACCTGGGAGCATTCTGGCAGCCCATATTGGGGATGTATGTGTGTTTCTCAACCCAGCTAGAGTCTTTTGTGAGGGCAGTTTCAACAAGGCAGGGATGCGGAACTGGACTGGAAGATGCAGTGCCTGGCTCCCAGTTCTTGCGCATTGGTCCTCTGCTCTCCATCTGCCGGTCTCCAACTAGAAGGCATCACCACACCTTCCTGCCCCAACATATGCTGCTGTTACTTTGGGAGGTGGACACCCTCCCTCCTTCTTTCCCCTCTGCCCCCTTCGGACACACCCCTGCCAGCTGACCAGTACTTCTTCACACTCAGTTCATTCAGTCCAGTCCTTCTAGGTGGAAGCTGCTCTGCTTTAATCTTTTATTGTATTTTTAATTCCTTCCCTCCCTCCCTCCCTCCCTCCCTCCCTCCCTCCCTCCCTCCTTCCTTTCTTTCTTTCCTTCTTTGGTTTTTTGAGACAGCGTTTGTCTGTGTAGCTTTGAAGCCTGTCCTGGAACTGGCTCTGTAGACCAGGCTGGCCTCGAACTCACAGAGATCCACCTGCCTCTGCCTCCCGAGTGCTGGGATTAAAGGCATGCGCCACCACCACATATTTAAGACAAGGTTTTTCTGTGTAGCCCTGGCTCTCTTGGAACTCTGTAGACAAGGCTGGCCTGGAACTCACAGATCCACCTGCCTCTGCCTCCCAAGTGCTAGGATTAAAGGTATATGATACAACCCCCCTGGTAAAAATTTTATTTTTGTTTTTGTTGTTGTTGTTTGTCTTTCGAGACAGGGTTTCGCTGTGTAACATTCCTAGCCGTTCTAGTACTAGCTCTGTAGACCCGGCTGGCCTTGAATTTACAAAGATCTGCTTGCCTCTGCCTCCCGACTGCTGGTATTAAAGGTGTGCACCACTACTGCCTGGCCCTAAAATTTTATTTAAAAGATTTATTTGCATGCGTATGTGTGTGTGTTTAAAACTTCCTCCTCTTATCTGTCCATTCTTAGCCTGTATATAATTTTTTTAATCCTCGTGATGATCTTATATTGCAAGTGCTATTACTATCCCTAGCCTACAACGGTGGGAGCTGGGGATGCAGCTTGAGACCACTTGCTTAGCATGTTCAGTGCCCTGGGTTTCACCATTAGAAACCAGGAAAGAAAGAAGATACAAAAGAAACGGGGAAAATGAAAGGAAGAGAGACTGGAGAGATGGCTCAGCAGTGTACACTGAGCACGTATACTGTTCCTGCAGAGGACCCGGATTCGGTTCCCAGCACCCATATCAGACATTCACAACTGCCTATAGTTCCAGAGGATCTGATGCCTCTGGTTTCCATTAGGCACACTTGCATACACACAGTTAAAATAAGGTAAGTCTTATTTTTAAGAAAGGAAGAGAAAGGGAAGGAAAAGACAGGAAAGAAGAAATAGCGGCTTGGAGAGCCAGGGACTGGCCCCAGCCTGCCATATACCGCCTCTCACACTTGTCCCTGTGTTCTCTTTCTTTTGTGCTCGCCTCATAGCCGTGTTACATAAACAGGGTAGGATCTAGAGAGGGATTCGCGTGGATGGCTCTCCAGCTTCTCTCCACGCCTACAGACACTCACGTTGTTGGCTTCTCGGACTAGCCTCTGTTCGTTGTACAGAATGTGCCGGATACAGCGAACCAGCTCCATGGGGCAGCGGTCGTAGGTGTTCTAAAAGAGGACAACAGGAACCACCAGTGGCCACCTGGTTCTGCCCACACCACCTTCCTTACCATGCCCATGCCCTCAGCCTCAGCTCTTCCTGGGAAGCCCCAAGATTATCAGACACCTCTAACTCTCCTTTGCCCTTCTTCCCCCCTCCCCAGCTTCTTACTAGGTTTACAGTAACTTAGACACTAACAATCTAAACACAAAGCACGTCCAGCCTCCCACCAGCTTTGACTCTCTGAAGCATGGAACTCCTATGACAGAAACTCAAACTGTTCTCATGTCATGGGTGAGAAAAATGATGTTCAGATAGGCTAGGCGTATGTCCTGAGGCAAGTGTGTGTGTGTGTGTGAGAGAGAGAGAGAGAGAGAGAGAGAGAGAGAGAGAGAGAGAGAGAGACACTTGGGGCGTCTGATGCCAACATCAAGGTACTTCCCACTAGGCACCTGGTCCTGGGTTCCTACTTTGTTTCCCTTCAGGTTTCTGATGTTTCTTCCTTTTTCTAGGATGAGCTTTTATCCCCGCTCCCCCGCCCCCGCTCTGCATCCTGCCGTTTGGATGTAAGAGGGGCTCTCTAAGAAATACGAGTGAATTCCGATAAATGCTTGACCATGAACGCCACCCACACCCCTTTCCTGCTTCCATAAACTCGCTGCCCCTCTATAGAAAGGGGAGGCTACTTTCTCGTTCTAAGCCTTTAATTCAAAGCCTTTTATCCCACTCTTGCTCCGGGGCAATTCTACCTCTCTTCTGCCGCTCTCTTGCCTCTAAATGAACCCCAAGGGGAATGGCTGCTTGCCTTACCCCTCATTTCTAGACTCTACCAGTCTTCCTTTCTCCAGCGATGGCTCCACCTGACTCGGTTTCTTTCCTTCTCTACTGCTTGATCTGTCCATAGTGCTGCCTCACCCACCCCCACCCCCCCGTGCTGGAATCACCCCCCTCCTCCCTCCCCACACACTCCCACCTCTTGCTTTGTAATATGTTAAAGGAATCTGACTTAGAAAGAGGGGGTGGGGGAAATTGAAGAAAAGTTGCCAGTAAGCTTTTGGTCACATGGTGACTCAGTGGCCAAGCCAGTGAAACTCCCAGGGGTTCTGATGCTGGAAGAGAAAGCTTAAGAGAGGGCCTTCCTGCAGAAGGCAGGCATTTACACCCACCTGGAGCTGCGTGGCATAGTGCCCCAGCTTGATCTTCAGCAAAAACCCATCTTCCCCCACCTGGTGTTCTGCCTTCTTCTGCAGCTCCTGCACCAGGCTCTCCAGGAGCTGGGTGGCCTGGCCCCGGTCCTGGGGATTGTCCAAGTCAATGGCATCCCTTGGGACATAACAAGGAGAGAAAAACTGTACCAAGAGTGATTTAGGACACTCCAGACCCACAAGACTTGCTCCTGGCGGCCATGCATCAAAGTCTAGAAAAGTCTCCCTTCAGTAGCTCCCGTTTCCCTCTTCCCCTTTCCTGGGGACACCACCCCTTCCGCACAAGGACAGATAGAATCGGAGTCACACCAAACCACAAAGAGGAGACCCTTGGCCTAGATAGCAGGGACTCGCATTTAAGGTGAAGGTTTAGGGCCCAGGACACCTACCATGGCTGACTCTCGATCCACTGGGCCAGGTAGTGCCGGACCTCGATGGGGAAGTGCTGTCCTTACAACACTTGCATCTGGCGCAGTGCATCTCCCTGGAGCTGCTGGGCCTGAATCCAGCCCGCCATGGCTGTTCACCTAGGGGAGAAAGTCAGTCATTTGTTCCGCAGAACTTTCTGGCCTGCCTGCGCCCTGCAGTGCCACCAAGGGACCTAAGGACTGTGGTGAGGTCAGGCTCCTCCCCTCACCCCAGGCACGCTTTCCTGTGCGGGAAGAGATGGCCACCCTTCCCTTCCAACAAGGAACCCTCGAGGCTGGGGGTGGAGACTTGGACAAGCAGATGCCCTCCTCTCTTCAGGTCCCCTCGCTCCATCGAGTCATCCCCAGACTAAAGGAAAGGGGGGGGGGGTCTACAAACCGAAAGAGAAACTTAAGAGACAGAGGCACACAGTCCCCCGACTAGAAACGACTGCAAAAATTCTTCCCATCCAGCCTCGGACCCACACTCTCAATGTTTGAGAAGGGAACTGTTCCAGTCCAAAAGTTAGGGCAATGCTGCGACCGCCACTTGAGGTTCAAGTCTCCTCAGGCACGTGTCTGGCACTGTCAGGGAGAGGTCAACTGTCTCTGGAGCAGCCCTGGATTGCACCCCAGTGTCTGCCCGCTCCAGGTGGAGCCTGACAGTGTCACTGTCCATTGTGCGCGTCCACTACTGTCTAACCCCTGCACAGGTTCCTTGTCCCTGATTCCTCTGAAGCTCCCATTCGAAGCCCAGACGGATGCTTGTCCCGTGTCAGGCCGGGGAGACTCTAGTGTGCTGGGTCCCAGGGACGCGGCTGCAGCCTAGATCCCTTATCCACGCGCCAAGGGCGACGCCACGCCAATCCACCCACCTGGTGCTGCGGAACGCCTGCGGCTGTCGCTCCGGGCTCGGGCTCCTGGTGGTTCCTGACGGCTCTTGACGGCGGCGGCGGCGGCGGCTGTTACTACAGGAAGGAGCAGAGAGCAGCGATTTCCTCCTCAAAGGTCAGCTGCCTCCGATAGACCAAACACAGCGCGCGAGCTCGCGCCAGCACCCCTCCCAGCGTCGGTCGCTCCCTCCTTGCCTCCGCCCTCGTTCGCCGGCTCTCCGGCGAGTGCGCTGCCCCTTCCGGAGAACCGACGGACCACCCGGCTGGGCGGCGCTGTGCAGAGGACCGCCCCGACGGTGGAGGTCCCCCCCCCCCGGGAGTCCCGGTCTGAGCTCCCCCGCGGTTCCGAGGGTGGGGGTGAGAGGGGAACGTCCTAGGACAGCTGAGTTGGAGCGACTGGGGGTTCTGGGAAGTTCCGAACTCTGGAAATCCCAAACCCAAACCAGGGCCTCAGTTTTATCATCAGTTAACTAGAAAAAAAAAAAAAAAAAAAAAGCGTGCGAGGAGGAAGAAAAAAAAGCTACCTGTGGATGCCACCTCTGTCGTCACCCTTTCTGTCTGTAGATTTACAAAGTGTGGTGTGTGTGTGTGTGTGTGTGTGTGTGTGTGTGTGCGCGCGCGGGGGGGCTTGCATTCGTGTGTGTGTGTGTGTGTGTGTGTGCGCGCGCGCCCGCGCATGCTAACAGATAGGGTGTGAATGACTTCTATGACCCTGCAGAGCCAAAACTTTAGAAAGACTGGGGATTCCAGAAGAGCAAGCCCACCACTAAGGTCTCCCCACCTCTCTCCTGGCATGACCCCCACCATGTGACCTTCCCTCTTAAAGCAGGACCAAGGAAGACCTTGGCAATCATATGCTTCAACCTTCCACCCCCTTCCCGACCTTTGCAGGTAAGAAATGTCAGTCCAGAGAAGAGAAGGGGCCTGCCCAGGACCGCACTGTGGTCACATCAGCAGATGGTGACCCATAAACTATTCATTCCCTCTGTTTACCTAGAAGGCGCTCATCTGGGGCTGGACATCTATCTTCTAAAAAGGCCCAGGAAGGGGTGTTTTAGCATTTTTCAACCTCACATCTGCCTGCAGACTTTGTCATGGCCGTGGACCTGCTCGCTGGAGCTTTGCCTAGATCAGAGTCCCCATCCCTAAGAGTTCCCCCTCAAGGCCCAAGGGTTGGATAAGGCCGAGCTGGAAGCCTGCCATCCCCTTTGCCCAGCTTCCCTCTCCTCTGGGCCTCCTCTCTGCCTGGCAGCTGGCAGAGGGCAGTAGCAAAGGAGGGGCTAGACTGGCTGCCTCCTCACAGCCCATCCCGGCCAGGCCCCAGTCGCCTGGGGGGATCTTTCTCATTGGCTTCCTCCTCACTAATTTTTTTCTTGTGTCTTTTCTCTCCATTCCTAGTTTCTGATCTCTCTTTCTGACCCATAAGACCTCCCTCCCCAGTTTTATTCTTTTTACTTTGCGGGAGGGAGGGGAACCCTGAAGATTTTCTGCAGAAGTTGAAATGTCTGGGCTCTCCCCGCCCTCTGTGTGTGGTCACAGTGACTTTACTTGGCAGGATCACGAGGAAAGGAATTGAAAACTGGGAGGGGGGTGTAAAGGAGATGGGGGGACCTTGCTTTTCAGATGCTCCACAGGGACCAGATGGGGTAAGGGGTTCTGGAGAAGGAAATGTGATCCTTTCTCCCTCTGTACAGTGGAGTTGGATGGGAGCCCATCAGACCCACAGCTCCAGATGAACGTCAAGGAGCAATACTGGCAGTGGCCATGAAGGTGATTTTACCAATGCAAATAAAAGGCCAGAGAGGGGAAGTGACTTGACCAGAGTCTTGAAGCCTGCCAGTGGCAGATCCAGCCCATAGCCCCATGGTAAAGGACCCCACTTGGCACCTGTGCCCACCGATCTCACTGCAGCCAAACGTGGAAGTAAGTGACAGCAGGTTCCTCAGATTCCCAAGTTGGGTTTCCCAAGTTCTCTGAGCTAACTCTATGGGTATAGAATCATGCCAGCTGTGTCCTCCGTCTGGATCCCTGGGAGCTGGTAGTACGGAGCTGCCCACCTGCTTCCAGGCATCAGCTCCTCCAGATCCCTCTCCCAGGACCCCCAAAAGTCTGCTGCTCCCACCAAACACCTGGCCGGTTTGGGCTTGGCTTGCTGGGAAGGTGGCCAGGCCTGTGTTCTAAAAAGTTAGGATGGAGGTGCCAGCAAACACCTGGAATGGAGTAGAAAGTCTTCAGAGCCCACTTATGTCCCCAGACCTAATGTGGGCCCATGGGTCGCTCCCTGAGCCTCTTAATTCTCCTATCTTTAAACTTCTTCTTCTTCTTCTTCTTCTTCTTCTTCTTCTTCTTCTTCTTCTTCTTCTTCTTCTTCTTCTTCTCCTCCTCCTCCTCCTCCTCCTCCTCCTCCTCCTCCTCTTCTTCCTCCTTCTCCTCCTTCTTCATCATCATCTTTTGCTTTTTGAGATAGGGTTTCTCTGTGTAGTACTGGCTGTCCTGGAATTCTCTCTGTAGACCAGGCTTGCCTCAAACTCACAGGAATCACCTGCCTCTGTCTCCCAAGTGCTGGGCAAGTGCTGGGCCTAAGGCTTGCGCTATCACCACCTGGCTCTTTACTTCTTTCTTTCTTTTTTAATTTTTTAAGCATTTATTTATTTATTTAATATGCATACAATATTCTGTCTGTGTGTATGCCTGCAGGCCAGAAGAGGGCACCAGACCCCATTACAGATGGTTGTGAGCTACCATGTGGTTGCTGGGAATTGAACTCAGGACCTCTGGAAGAGCAGGCAATGCTCTTAACCTCTGAGCTATCTCTCCAGCCTCTCTTTGCTTCTTTCTTATCACTATTGTGTGCATACATGCTGTGGCACTTGTGTGGAGGTTAGGGGACAGCAACCATGGAATAATGGCTCTCTGTCAACCTTATATGGGTTGCCAAGCTTGCTTGGCAAGAGACTTTACCCACTGAGACATTTTGCCAGTTCAGCTTGCGCCGTTCACTGCTTGATTCTGCCTTTTTGTATGCGTTGTTATGTCAGTGAGATACGATGGGCAGTGGGGTGCGGGGCAGCTCTACAACTTTCCCAAGATAGGAGCCAAGGAGGGAAGAGTGTTGGGTTGGGTTGGGGGCAGAGGTGGCTGTGGTTATAACTCCAGATAACACAACTACCCGGAAGTGTCAAATTTGGTTTTTGTTTTCTTTTTCTTCTTTTCAGCCTTTAGTCCCTTGGTTTGGTCTCTGCTCTTTCCCACCACAAAGCACCTTGGTGGTTTTAGGGGACCAAGCTCTAGGGGAGAAAACTGAGGGCTAGGGGAAGGGGGTTAGAAAGATCAGAGACTGCCTGATATCTGGATGGACTGGAATTAGAGGCTGCCCTCTTGCCTCTGACTGTGTTTCATCCCCAATTCTGGCTTGCAGTATTCAGTGGAGTAAGGGAGATTAACAGATTAACACAGACACACACACATACACACACACGCTCGATATGGTGGTGTGCATTTGTAATGCCAGCACCGGGGATGTGGTGACAGATGAGTCCCTGGAGCTCACTGTCTAGCCATCCTAGCATGGTCAACTATCCCAAGTGCCTGTGAGAGATCCTGTCTCAACAAGCAAGGTGGACAGCTCCTGAGGATGACACTTGAGGATGACCTCTGGCCTTCATGTATGTGTGTGCATGCATGCATGTGTACCCATACACACATATGTACCCGTACACACATATGTAGCCACACACATGTGTATACCCATACACATGTGTGCCCATACACATGTGCACACCGTACATGCATGTGCACCCATACACACATATGCACCTGTGCACACATGTGTAACCAACCATATACATATGTGTACCCATACACATGCACACACACACACAAATCCCGCAGAAACAAATCCCCCTCCATGCCATCTTGACCTGAATCATGGTACATTTGTGCTAACATGTTAGGCAGCTCCACCGATCCTGCCAACAACCTTGGAAGGAAGGCAGGGCTGGACTCACTCCAGTGATTCATCCGTGAAAGAGACCTATCTGAAGTCCTATGTCTGGTATTGTGTGTAGTCGCCATCACCAACAGCCTGTGGGTAGGGTCTCAGTGACCGTTCGTAGGTGTGCCACCTCCAAGCCACTCTACACGTGTAGAGTGAAGAGGTCGCCTCCGGCTGGCCTGGCGCAGATGGTTCTATGATATTAACTGTAGCCCCTGCATTG